CCCCTTTCCCCCTTCTTCCCCCTCCGCCCGCTTAAATGATGATACAGGAGCAACGCTAATTTTTAACAACTGTGCTCTCTTCTTTTTTTTCGTTTTTTTTTTTTGTTAACTGTGTTCTTAACTTTGTATTGTATTATGTACAGACTCTACGGAGATATTACGCCAACAATGTCGTAACGGGTATCCCGCCAAATTGTCATAATACCTTGGCGATGGCGTAATACTACTAGTAATAACATCACCGTCTCGATTTTGAACATAGCATAAAGAGGCATCACACAAAAGAAAGGGAAAAAGCTGTTCTATTACAGAGGCATACCGCGAGCTACCAAGCTTTCAGTAAAAACGTTGTGAGTGGGACGTGGGAGCCAACGGCCGGCCTTCGTGTGTCCGACAGGCTGAATTGCTTGATTGATTGATGGATCCATCGTGGTGATTCCGCGTCACGGCCATGGCTACGTCTTCTGCCAGATTGTGGCCGTATCCTTGGGAGGCGGCGGCAATCTCTTCTGCTAAGGGAGGCGGAGGTGGGGTAGGGGGAGAGGGAGGGGGAGGGGGAGGGGATGTGCACAAGAACAGTCGATGCCAGGAAATACGAAATGATTATCGAAGAATATGGGGATGGAACGGGAGGTCGCAGCACCCAAGTTTTATGCCACGTGGCACACCAGGGTGCTGGCTCTGTAGTCGACGTGAGGTGACTGGGACGGGGGAGATCCGTCGTGATGATGCTGATTGTGCATTAGGCCGAAGGACGAGAGTGCATCTCTTTGGTCTGGCAAAGGGAGGACAGATCCTTCCGCCGGCCATGCGGAGTAGTTGCTGCACCACGGGAGGTGGCCACGTCAGCAGCTCCCTTGGTGGGGTGACACGTGTCTCACGATTGGCTGGTCGGTTTTGCACAGAAAGAAACGGACGGGATTTGCTGCCGGTGGTCGTCGGCAAAGGATCTTGGGACGGAGTGAGGAAAGTGAAGGATAACGAGGTGGAGAAAGGGAGAAGTGGATTATGTCCATTGCCCAGAAGGAGGGCGTGTCAGAAGATTGGCGCTCTGTATGGTGGGCTGAATAAACGAGGGGACTACACGGAGGCATTCGGCGTTTGCATTGCGCGGGCTGATAAGCTAGGAAAGCGGACGGGCGAACGACTAAGTGTCGTTGAGGCGATTGGCGGTGAGGGAGAGAGAGAGGAAAGGACGGGGTTCAGGGGGCGGCCGACAGGTAATGGGACTACACCACTACATGGAGGAGGAGGAGGAGAACGAGGAGAAGGATGGGGGAAGGTGGTAGGTGGAAGGAGAAGGGATGCGAGCGCGAAGAGCACGACGACGATCGGAAGCAATGGCGATGGCGAAAGTGATGATGAGGATGCTGACGAGTCGACTTCCCTGATTGCAACGGAGGCAGCGACGCCGAGGGGAATGCGACTAGAAGGAGACAGCGGAGGAACGGTGGAGAGTATGTCATGGCTTGGTGTAAATTGGAGCGCAATGCTTATGTTGGACAATGAGCAAGGAGGAGGAGGAGGAGGAGGAGGAGGAGGAGAAAGAGGAGGAAAAAGAACAGAAAATCGAGAAGGATCTGCAGCTTGGAATCGCTGGGAAGACGTGGCGTCTAACCAGCGAACCTCGGGACCGGATAGCGATGGCGAAGCCGCTGGAATTCCGTCGAAACACGTGGGTATGGAAGCGCCGAGGAGGATCAATCGGATTCGGAGGCTGCGACCGAGAATGAATCTGAAACAGCTCTCGAAATTGGCCAAACTCGTGGTAGTAGCAGAAACAGTAGGGAAGGAGAACGAAGTCCATGGCTATGGTGACTCAGCCCAACCCGATGTAAAAGGTGATGGCGATGTGGCGGGCGACGACTTATGCCTGCTTGCGGGCGAGTCCGCCGGTCGACCCGCAATGAAAACAGGTGGTGTCGACGTGGTGGGCGACTCTCACGATGATAGTTTTTATACTGTCCGGGATGATGAGGCCAGTTACGGTGAGGATGAAAGGAAGAGGAATGGCAGCGGCGGAAGAGAAAGCCGGCTGCAGGCTGACAGGCAGCAGAAGAAGTTGACGTTGATCTTAGGAAGACGACGATCTGACGGCCGAGTTCCATCGAGAAAAGTCGATAGCGCATCGACTACGTCAGTGGATGATGACAGCGTGGTGCCCTCTTCCCTAGCGGGTCCCTCCCACGATCAAGGGGTTGAGGATGGCTTAGGGAGAGAGAGAGGGAGAGAGAGAGGGAGAGCGAGAGCTAAGGGTGAAGGCAGTTGGACGAAAATTGTTGGTGAGACGGGCCATGTCGTGTATAGACGAAACATGGGGCACCAGCGTTCTCCTCCTCCCATAGTAAAAGGAAGAAAGAACCCGCTTGTCGGCGGTGGAGAAGAGGTAGATTCAGATTATGCCATCGATGATGATGAAGAACTGGCTGTAGCTTCTTCTTCCGAAGCACGAAAGGATGATAAGGCGGCGAGCTTTTCGCCCTCTGGAAATGTCAATGACGGCAACCGAAATGATGCTCTGGCCATAGAATCTCCTACACATAGACATTCTGCTGATGAGTCTTGCACGCCATCGTCATCGTCATCTTCACTCCAACTGCCATCATCATCATCATCGTCATCATCATCATCATTGTTCCAGCTGTCGAGGTGCGTTACGTTAGTGTCACCTTCAGCATCAGAGGATATCAGCGGTGGTCGGGGACATGCCGTCGCTCATCTCAACGACAACGATGACGACGAAGTAAGTGAAGGCATCCAAGACGCAGACGAAGGAGAAGATGAAGAAGCAGCAGAAGAGCGGAAGCTGCATTTGGAGGCAGAGAGTGGTGGTGACAGCGCCGCCATCGAGTCGTCACTCAGGGAAAGCTCTACTACGTCAGCTCAGGCATTGTATATGAAGGGAGAGAGTGGCACTGACAGCGCGATCAACACAATCATCAAAAGATCTGGTATTTCAGATAAGATGAGATACAATAGTAACAGTAATAATTATGAGACTACTACTTTGGAGAAGAATCGGATAACCGATGATGATGACGACGACGACGACGAAGATGATGATGATGATGATGATGATGATGAAGTTGCACATGCTGTTCATGATTATGATTGGCTTTGGCGGGAAACATGGGGATGTGATGTGCGAGGGTTTGGTACAGCTGGGGACGGAGTAAGAAGACGACAGCAGGGGATAGAGGACCGTATCGATGATGACGAGACCCTTGGAGACGATGGGGATGGAGAAGTGGATGGCATCCGTGAGAGCGTGGCCGGCGATGGCGGTCGGGATCCCAGCGGTGTTGATGCCGATGCCTTACGAGTAGTGGAAGGTGTTGAAGACAAAGATGATGATATGTCAGAAGGTGGGGTGTTGGTGGAGGCGGCCAGGAATCAGGAAGATGGTAAAGAAGGTGACGGTCATAGAGAGGACGCTATAGCCGCAGAAGCAGCTGGAATCGATGCTGAGACATTGGAGGGGGGCACGAGGAGGAGAATCATGCGGCCAGTGAGGTCCAGGGGCGCTTATCCGATCGAGATGCAGAGTCCGGATCCGGACCCGATGGCCGTGACGGCAATGGGCAATCAGAGGAGGCGAACGGAGAAAGGACGTGTGAGCCGCCTTCGTGGAGAAGCAGCAGTAGCAGCGGCATCAAAGGAAGAAGAAGATGACGATGATGATGATGATGATGATGATTACGATTACGATGAAGAGGATGATGATGATGATGATGATGATGATGATGATGATGGTGATGCTGGCGATGGTGAAGCGCGAGTTTCGGGGAAGAGGAGATTGACGGGATACAAGAAGCGGTGGTTGAGGAGGAAGGAGTGGAAAAAGCGAGTGTGTGACGAGCAGTGGAGGGAGATGGTGGGAAAGGTGGTAGGCGAGATTTTGCAGATGCCACCTGGAAGATACATCTGGGAGGCGATGGCCAAGTGGGAACAGAGCGAGGTGGAAGCGGGAGAGGTCGGTAGGATGCGCAACTGGGATTGGTGTGGGATTGTGAAAGAGCTGGGCAGAGCGCGCCGATGGCAGAGAGCGCTGGAAATGTTTGAATGGCTAGTCTTACAGAATTGGTATCGACCGACTTCAGGCATGATTGCGACTGTCGTTGGAGTCTCTGGGCGAAGTGGCCACATCCGAATTGCCGAGGACTTGTTCCAGAGATATGAAGATGGGGTAGGCAACCAGATTAGCGTTTACAACGCTCTCCTTGGTGCGTACGTTAGAAATGGATTGTACAAGGAAGCCGAGAGGCTCTTCGAGATTATGAAGAAAAAGCGCGGCGGCCGACCGAAACCTAATGTCGTTAGCTATAACACCATGATCAGCGCTTTGGCGAGAATGGCCGAAGAAGACGATCTTGATGCTGCCGATGCTGAACGAGAGAGAGGAGGAGGAGGAGGAGGAGGAGGAGGAGGAGGAGGAGGAGGAGTGTTGTCCAAAGACAAAGGGGAAGAAGGTGTTGGGGGGGGCGCGAGGGATGATGAAGGGGAGGGAGGAAGGAGGAAGAGGTTTGGCGACAAAGCGCGGAACTTGATGAGGGAGATGAAAGAAGCGGGACTTCAGAAAGATACCATTACTTTTAATACAATGATTGCAGTGTGTGAGAGGGCAGGAAAATGGCGGGAAGCGGAACAATTGTTCTCTGGGATGAAGACTTCCACATCATGGGTCTGCAAACCTGATAAATGGACGTATAATACCATGGTTGCCGTCTATGTGAAGGCTGATAAGGAGGAGGAGGCATTCAAGGTGTTCAGAGAAATGTTATCAAAAGAGATAGAACCAGATCGAGACACGTGGAATGCAATCGTTCGTATCTTGGCGAGGATGGGCAGGATAGACGAGGCAGAGGAGGTTGTCTTCGAGATGAAATCACGTAGTCGGAGGTTAGACGAGATGTCTTTCAATGCGCTGATCAGCATGTACGGCAGGCTGGGAGAAGCGAAAATCGGAGAAGACGTGTGTCGGCAGATGCGCAATCGAGGCATGATTCCCCATATAACCTCATTTACTGCTATAATCGATGCCTACGGAAGAGCAGGAAAGTTACGCGAGATGGAGAGAATGTGGGGACAGATGGTCGCCGATGGCATTCGTCCCATGGCTGCTACCTTCGGCGTGGTTATGTCTGCTTATGCGAGGAGTGGTAGATTTCAGCAAGTAGAGACGGTATTCAGAGGACTGGGGAGATGGGGGGAAAGGGGTGTTGAAGATGTGGGTGATGATAGGGTCATGGCAGACAGGGATGCTTATCTTACAATGATTGACGTCTACATGAAATGGGGCCGCCAAGATCGTGTGCAGCGCTTATTGGAGGAGATGCAGGCGGCTGGATTAACGAGCAAGTACGATGGCGATGATTGGCAGATGAACAGATCGATCTCCGGCAATAGCCGCCGACGTTCTTCTCCTTCTGTCGCGGCAGAGGATGATCATAGAATTACTAAAGGAGGAGGAGGAGGAGGAGGAGGAGGAGGAGGAGGATGGGGGGGGAGCGACTGGGATCAATTGTTGGGGGTAAAGGAGATGGCGAGCGATGAGGCTGCAGTTGGAGGGATGGAGAAAGAGGAATGGGGAGGGGAAGGAAACGAAGAAGGAGAAGTGGTGGTGGCCAGCTCTTGGAAGACCTACACACGATTGATTGAAGCATATGGTCGAGGTGGCAAAGTGGAAGAGGCTGAACATACTTTTGCGAGGATGAGGAGAGAGGGACCACCCCCCGATGATCGGACGTACGCGGCAATGATCGATGCCTATGCACATGGCGGCAGAATTGATGACGTGGAGAGGTTATGGGAAGAAATGATGACACGTGGCAAGTCGAAGGACGGAATGAAATGGGTGGCAGCAGCAGAGGGAGAAGTAGCTGGCGAGGGCGTAGTGCCACATCCCCCTCCTAGGCCTGGACTTGCATCTTATTCCGCTGTGATGAGGGCGTATTTGAAGGCTGGCAGATTTATGGCTGCGTCGTCACTCCTGAGAACAGCGGAAGAACAGAGGTTGAGGGCGGCGGCCTTGAGGAAGGGTAATGGTGCTGCAAGTACTGTCGTCAGTACCGTCCCACGTGGAGGAGATGGTAGTCAATCTGAGGAGGAGGCGGTTGTGTTCTCCTTGTATCAATTGTTGGCATTTGCGTATGCGAAGCAGAGACGTATTTCCGATATGAACGGCGTGCTTCTGAGGATGGAGCGGGCGAAGGTCGGATTAGAACTTGCCACGTGCCGTGCTGTAATTCGAGCATACGATATTGAGGACATGGTGGAAGATGCTCTTCTTGTACTGGATAAAATGGAGGCAGAAGAGGTTGTCGGCGATTTGGAAGTCTGTTCTCGTTTGCTGGCGATGAGTGTGAGGAGAAGGATTTGGAAAGAGGGTGTGGAACGAGTACAGGTCTGCATGGAGAAGTGGGGGATAGAGGGGGACGGAAATGTGGCCTTGGCACTTCTCGAAGCGCACGGATTACGAGGACAATGGGATAATGCGCAGAGGATCTTCGACGAGATAAAGCAGAAAGGCTGGCCTTGTCCGACCGCAGCGCATGATTGGCTGATACGAGCCTACGTGGAGGGGGGTAGAGGGGAGGACGCGGAGCGGTTGCTGTTGGAACTGGAATCGGCGGGATGTGTGCCAGGGGTCAGAACGTTCGAGGGGGTGATTGATGGGCTATCGAGGTCTGGAGGGGAGGGAAGATTATGGGGGATCCTCCGGAGGGTGGAGCGAAGCGGATTAGGATTGACCAGACGCATGTACGAGCAGAGCCTGATCGCCTTTTCGAGGATGGGAAGGGTGGAGGAGGTGGAGGCCCTTTGGCAGCGAGCCCGAGAAGATGGCCATCTCCTGACCTTCCCCATGTACAAGGCTGTGATTTTGTCCTTGGCGCAGTTCAACAAGCTGAAAATGGTGTCTAGACTGATGCAGGAGATGGCTGAGTCGGGACACCGTGCTGACCTGGAGCTTTACAATCACGTCATCGCAATGTATGGTCGAATAGGCAAGCTGGTCGAAGCAGCGACTGTTTTCCAGGGAATGAAGGAACTTGGGTGCGAGCCAGACTCGGAGACATATAAAGAGTTGGTGGGGATGCATCTGGATCGTCTGCTATGTGACCAAGCAATCCGGATCCTAAAGGGGATGGAGAAAAACGAGGTGAGGGTGGACGAAAGAATCTACGCCAAGCTGATTCGATCGTTGGGCAAATTGGGAAGGGTCCAAGATGCAGAAGACTGGTTTGGAAAGGTCAAAGGGAAACCACTTACAGACAACGTGTTGGAAGGAGTGTATGCAGCTATGGTGGATGTTTATCGGAGAGAGGCAATGTGTGACCAAGCTAAGGAATTGGTGAGGGAGATGAGAGAGGGAGGCATGCAGGTGGGACCTGGGATAATGAATATGCTTGTTGATGCGTTCGGCAGAGCTGGAAGGGCAGATGCGGCGGAAGAAGCGATTCGAGAAATGGAGGCAACGGGGATTGGAATCGACGGTCGAGAACACACGTCGCTCCTGCATGCATATCTCAAACAGTGCCAGTATGACAAGGCAGTGGAGGTGTTCCGGTCGATGAGAGGGCGGGGACTTGTCCCTACTACAGTCACGTACACGACTATGACGCAGGCTTGTGGGGCGTGCAATGAATTCAAGGAGGCACTTGTGCTGCTCAAGGAGATGAAGGCGGCAGGGATGACCGTGCCTTATGCCTTGATGAGGGGTCAGGCAACGAAGAAGGGAGACGACCTTTGGGAAGAGGTTGGACGGTTTCTGGACGAGCTGGTGTTGGAAGGCAAGGAGGCAGCTGCCGGATTTGTAAATGTGCTGACAGATTTACTGTGGGTTTACTCCCAAAAAGAGAGAGCTGCGCACCTTCTCCTTTTGGCACAGGATAGGAGGGTCTTTGGTGCACCCCTTTTCAGGTGAGCAGCCTGCGGGCGCAGACCTTTCCCCTACTTCTCTTATCGAAGTCCTTTCCCTTGTGATATTTTTCCGAACCGTCTCTCGTTGTCTGTGCAGGCTGGAGCCGCAAGGTTCCTCACCGTCTGTGCATGCGATATCATTCAATAATGATAGTTGATAAGAAAGATAATGATCAGACACGAGAAATCTTGTCGAACATATGTGGATGCCACCGATGTTTTCACCGTTAGTTGCGGCGATTGGACCTACATACAGGTAGGGAGGCGCACATGCATACACGTATCTGCATCCTGTGGAGGGTGGTTGAGTAAGGGCACTGTTCATCTCTTTTGTCTCCTTGCATCAGAGGCCTGTGGTGGGTGGTTGAAGTGGGACGATTATTTTGACATCATTGACATCAGCAGCTGTCAGCTGTGGCATTCTCTGGGACTTCACCCCGATGCCTTCAGCATTCTAGACTCTGTTTAAACCACCAGTTCGTGAGGCCCATCTGCGGACCTCTGAAAGAATTTAACACCCGTACATCCACAAAAGGCCAGTGGGTTAACCAGCACGCCTTGCCCGTGTACTGGTGCTTTAAGTGGGGTGTTTTTTCCTCCCCCCTTCTTTATTAATGTAATGGGTGCTTTCACCCTGTGCTTAGCTGCCTTCTTCTGTCAAGTGTTCAGGGTTTAGGGTTTAGGGTTCACAGGTGAGGGTTGAAACTAGAGGTGGTCACTAGGGAAAAGAAAAGTAAGGCGATTTTCGAATCTTATTAGGGAAAAGAAAAGCAGATATTCATTCTCGTTGAAACCTCAGAATGGAGGTTGCTGATGTGACTTTTATCTTATCACTGTTATCAGCCATTCAGAGACGTGGAAGCAACAGTTGGCAGATGTGCCTGCTCTAATTCGTGTGCCGATTCTGCCGGATCATGCGTAGGGTGTGCTGACGCTACATTCCATCCCATGTTATCTGGGCCCGAATCACGTTTTGGGTGGGAGAGGAAAGGCGGGTGCATGCCATATTATTACAAAAATGTCAAGCACTGTAGCCAGGCCTGTGGAGATTGTTACCAAGACAGAATTCTGTGAGCATATCTAATCATCGGACCAAGCATCTATGCAAAGAAATCAAAGGACAGACAGGAAGGGAGAGAGAGAGAGAGAGAGAGAGAGAGAGAGAGAGAGAGAGAGAGAGAGAGAGAGAGAGAGAGAGAGAGAGAGAGAGAGAGAGAGAGA